ACGTTTTTAGGAGACAAGATCAAACTGGGATCCAGTCTTGAATTTTGATTATCCATGTCGGTGTGATATTTGTCCACAATGATCATTATACAATACTCTCTCCATTCCAAATTATAAGTCATTCCAACTTTCTAAAAGTCAAAACATTTTAGCACGTGCCGAAGGAGGTCACGATGATGGGCTAAAAAATAACACAAAGCAGAGTGTGCGTGCCAAAGGAGGTCACGATGATGAGTAAAAAATAACACAAGCCTTTGTTCGATTTTGATTAAATGTGTCAAGTTTTGCGTTAGTTTTAAAAGAAAAAATAAACTAGGCACGATATTGTGCCAATATATCATGACATCAGTGTTCCCCGGACTAAATTTTAGTCCCTGTCATATCGGATGTTTGACACTAATTTAAAGTATTAAACATAGACTAATTACAAAACTAATTACACAAATGAAGACTAATTTATAAGACGAATCTATCAAGTCATAATTAGTCCATAATTTGACAACACGATGCTACAGTAAATATGTGCTAATGATAGATTAATTAGACTTAATAGATTTGTCTCTCAAAAATAGTCTCCATCTATATAATTAGTTTTATAACTAGCTCATATTTATTCCTCCTAATTAGCATCTAAACGTCTAATGTGACATGGACCAAACTTCGGTACATGATCCAAACACCCCTAACAATAGCTCATAGTGCTCTTGGTCAACTCTGGTCACATCAGTGCATAGTAGCGAGGCAATCTGTTTCTATCGCATCCCATGAGGTTAAGTGATAAGGTTCATCAGTGATGCCAATTAGTCCAGGTTTAAGATGCAGCCATATTCCTTGGCATTAGGCTGGCCATGGAACTAAAGAAGAGAGCGGCCTATTGGAAGCAGCGAGGCAAATTCAACACAATCCGTGAAGGAGACAGTAACACTAGATTTTTCCACGCCCACGCGACTGCTCGTCTGCGGAGAAACACCATCAGAAGCATCGCGGTGGATGGTGTGCAGGTCACTACCCATGCTGTCAAAGTGCAAGCGCTCACTGCATACTTCAAATCAATCATTGGAGTACCTGGAAACTCTGTATGTCACTTCAGCTGTGAAGCACTGTACCGAGAATTGCCCAAAGCAACAGAAGCACTCACGCTGCCATTTTCACAGCAAGAGGCATTGATGGCAGTAAAGAGTATGAATAGGTGTAGTGCACCGGGACCAGACGGCTTCGGCCCAAGCTTTTACGGGGCGGTCAGCGAAGATGTCATGCAATTCCTGAAAGATTTTCAAGATGATAATATAGATATGGAAAGTGTCAGGTCCTACATGGTACTGCTGCCAAAGAAACCAGATGCCAACACCGTGAAGGCTTTGAGACCCATTTGTCTTCAAAACTGCTGTGTAAAGATATTGGCCAAGATTTTGACAACCAGATTGCAGACACAGATAACAAAGTTAGTGGACGTTGACCAAACTGATTTCATAAAAGGGAGGTCTATAACTGAAAACTTTGTTTATGCCACGGAGCTTGTACAATGCTGTCACAAAAGGAAAGTCCCAACACTGGTGATCAATTTAGACTTCGCTAAAGCTTTTGATACAGTCAACTAGGACTCACTGGATGTTGTGATGCAAGCCAGAGGTTTTAGCAATACTTGGAGAAGATGGATGCACAACATCTTGCAGTCCTCACGTTCTGCAGTCTTGGTAAACGGATGCCCGGGACCATGGATCAATTGCCGCCGTGGCCTAAGGCAGGGGGATCCCATCTCACCATACTTATTCATCTTGGTTGCTGATGTGCTCCAGATACTCATCAAACAATCAACTCAGATCAGGCACCCCATTGTTGATAATGTGAGCTGCCTGGTGTTGCAATATGCCGATGCGAGGAGAGCTGCCTGATGTCCAGGCACTTAAAACCCTGCTTGATCAGTTTGCCAACGCAACAGGTCTGCAAATCAACTTTACAAAAAGCACTGCAGTGTCGATCCATATGGATGAGAGGGCTGTGGAGTCATGCATTTCAGCCCTTGGCTGTCGCAAGGAAGGCTTCCCTCAAACTTATCTAGGACTGCCCTTATCAAACAACAAGTTGCGCCTCTCTCCGTTTGCGCCACAAATTGCAAAAGCCGATAAATACCATGCAGGATGGCAGGCCTCTCTTCTGAATCAGATGGGATGTGCATCTCTAGTCAACTAGGTTCTGGACAGCCAACTTATATATGCTATGTGTGCTCTAGCCATACCTCCTGGTGTCATAGATCAAGTTGACCACAAGCGACGCTCTTTCCTATGGTCTGGGACAGCAAGCTCGAACAGAGCAGGGAATCTGGTGGCATGGGATCACGTTTGTGATACAAAAGAACAGGGGGCCTTGGATTGAAAGACCTTGGAACCCAGAACATATGCTTGCTGCTCAAACTGATCCATAAGCTACATCTTGATACTAATTCATCGTGGGTTCAGTGGGTGCAGGAAAATGCTAGTGTCGCATCTCTAACAGGCAACCTACATGGCCAACACTGGGACATGTTGCGCTCCATATTGCCAATTTATCAGGCTATCACCACTGTAACTCTAGCTGATGGAAGTACAACGTCCTTCTGGCATGATGTATGGGAAGGGGAAGACTCTATGGCTGAAAGGTTCCCTCAGTTGTTCAGTCATTGCAAAATTCAAGAGCTTAGAGTGGAACAGGCATGCCAAGGTGGGCTTCAGCAACAACTAAGGACGCGCCTATCGGCTATGGAAACTGAACAATTCAGTCAGGTGACGCAAATCCTAAATCAACTGACGCTGACCCAAGGAAGAGACAAACGCCGAAGTATGATCCTAAAAAAGAATGGTGATCTAGACATCCCGCTGATCTACAAGGCACTCAAAACAACTAACTCCCCCCCGAATGCTTGGAGCAAGTTTGTATGGTAAAACAAAGCGCCGCCCAGAGTAAAGTTCTTCACATGGCTGCTCTCTCAAGGGAGAATTCAGTGCAGAACATTGCTCCAGAAAAAGGGAGTAGTAAGCACCACCACCTGTGAAGTCTGTCAGGCTGTGGATGGAACACCAGAGCACATAACTTTTTGCTGCACAGTAGCTTGTCAATTCTGGAATGCAGTTCAGATAACAACTAATGAAGATTGGTCAGTTCAGGCTCTAAGGGAGATACAACCACCAGATCATATACCGGCAAAATACTTCAGTACCTTCTTGATCTTATGCTGTTGGAATATCTGGAAAAAGGCGGAACAATCTGGTATTCAGAGGAGAGCGAATGAGCTTGAATGCAACTTTGGCGGCCTGTAAATCTGAAGCTTATCTGTGGGGAGCATGACTGCCACAAGAAGATCGAACCATTGCGACGATTTGGTGCTCTGTGTTGTTAAGCGAAATGTAATCATATACAGCAGCAAAATGTAAAATGAAATGTTTGTAAACTTATCTGGCTTTGAGAGCCAACAATCAATGAAATGCTCAGGTGGGGAATTCTCTCCCCCTGTAGACTTATAAAAAAAAACCTGATCACTGCAAGGTTACTGCGTGCCAAAGGTCACCGACACGAGGAGAGCATCATATTCTTCAGACATCTACAGCTTTAGTGTCTGCTCGAGGCTCGAGCTCCTCACGGGGAAGTCGCCTGTGTCCAGATATGCGGCAACCCGGCAACAATGAGGTCGTCCACACCATGAGATGGCTGCAGTCGAAGGAGCAGAGAGTTCATCGGCGCAGCACCATAAGAGCTCATTGTGCTAGACATTCAGTCACCCATCCTTTGTATCAGCATATATATAAAAGTTGGCTAACATTTCTGTATTTTCCAAGCATAACTGTAATGCTGATCATGTTCGGAAGAATTACATTCCGTCGCTTCAGCACGAAGGCACGTGGTTCTCGGCAGAAGAAGCAAAGGCGGACCTAATCTTCAGCTATTATAATGGAATCCTGGGCACACCCTTCCAACGCCAGCACTCCATCCACCTTGATGACCTTCTACCTCAACTGGACTTGGCAGGCATCGACGCCTGCTTCTCGGAGGAGATTTGGGCAACGGTAAAGGACCTGCTGACGGACCGTGCCCTTGGCTCGGATGGTTTCACCGGCCTGTTCTACAAGGTGGCCTGGGGAGTCATCAAGCACAATGTGATCAACGCGTTCAACGCGCTCTGGTCTCTTGACGCCAGAAGCTTCCACCTATTGAAAGATGCACTGATGATTTTGCTTCGCAAAAACCAAGCACCCACCCGGCTAAAAAGAGTACCGACCAATCAGTTTGATGCATAGTTTCAGCAAATTGTTCGCGAAATGCTTAGCCATGTTAGAAATCATAGAACAGTAGATCAAACACAGGGGAAGGAAAAAAACCACGAGCACCAGCCAGCAAATCTTTACTATATCGGGTGAGGTTTCACACGTCGAAGATTTACAACTTTTCTTATCCCAAGACGACGGTTTACAGGAAGTATATATAGAAGGAAAAGCCTAATAGGCGACGATCGACAGAAGTTAGTCTTTATCTTGTACATAACTGAATTTGGATCACAACTCAACAAACTCCACCTCGAGACAAATTCCTTCTTGTAGCATAAAACGAATATTTACCCTGAAACAACAAAAAAATACTTCCGGTGTCAAATAGCCTATTGGGCTAAACAGTTATACCAACTAAGTTTTAGCAAAGCTCAAACTTAGCAACAGGAACTGGCTTTGTCAACATATCAGCAGGATTATCATGTGTGCTTATCCTGCATACCTTCAGCTTACCTTGCGCGACAACATCGCGAACATAATGGTATTTGATATGAATGTGCTTCGTTCTCTCATGGAACATCTGATCTTTAGTGAGACATATATCACTTTGACTGCCACAAAATAAATTAATACAAGAATCATCTCCACAAAGCTTAGCAAACAAATCTTTCAACCAAACCGATTCTTTACATGCTTCAGCAACAGCCACATATTCTGCTTCAGTGGTAGATAAGGCAACAACGGGCTGCAAAGTTGTCCTCCAACTCACAGCACAACCACCAATAGTGAACACATAATCTGTGAGAGATCTCTTCTTATCAAATCGGCCACAAAATCTGAATTCATGTAGCCAGTGAGTCCCTTATCAGTCTTGCCAAACTTCAAACAAGCATTTGTTGTGCCACGAAGGTACCTAAAAATCCACTGAACAACTTTCCAATATTCTTTACCGGGATTAGCCATGTATCTACTAACAAAACTCATAGCATATGATAAATCAGGACGAGAGCAAACCATGACATACATCAAAGAACCAACAACACTAGAATATGGAACTCTTGACATGTACTCAAAATCCTCATCCGTACTAGCATATTGTAAAGCTGATAATTTAAAATGAGGAGTAATAGGAGTACTAACAGACTTTGCATCATGCATGTTGAAACGATGAAGAACTTTCTTAATGTAACTTTGCTGACTATGAAATAACAAACCAGAATTTCTGTCTTTTGTAATCTTCATACCTAGAATTTTCTTAGCAGCACCAAGATCTTTCATCTCAAACTCACTGCTCAACAGTTTTTTCAACGTAGTGATTTCTTTCTTGCTCTTGGCAGCAATCAACATATCATCAACATATAACAGCAAGTATATAGATGATCCATCAATAAATTTAATGTACACACAGCTATCAAATTCAGACCTCTTAAAACCATGTGATATCATCAAAGAATCAAACCTTTTATACCATTGACGAGGAGACTATTTCAAATCATATAAGGACCTCTTTAATTTGCAAACATGATCCTCCTTACCAGGTACTATGAACCCTTCTGGCTGGTCCATGTATATCTCCTCCTCGAGCTCTCCATGTAGAAACGTAGTCTTTACATCTAACTGCTTAAGCTCGAGATCTCGCATAGCAACAATACAAAAAAATGTACAAATTGAACTATGCTTTTCAACTGGAGAGAACACATCATTATAATCAACACCAGAAATCTGACTGAAGCCTTTTGCTACTAACCTTTCCTTAAATCTTGGAGGCTCACTAGGAGACAAATCCTCCTTTCTTTTGAAGATCCATTTGCAACGAACGACCTTCTTTTGTTTAGGCAAGCGCACAACATCCCATATCCCATTCTTTTCGAGTGACTGCATATCCTCTTGTATAGCGAAAATCCACTTCTCGCGGTCACCAGAAACAACAGCTTCAGTATACGTAGCCGGCTCATGAATGTTCTCCACCTGTTCAGCACAACTAAAGGCATAATGAACAATATCACAATCCTCAATTAAACATGGACGAGGTCCACAATTCCTCTTTGTTCTGCGATCTGCAATAGACTGATTTTGAGGCTGCAAAACAGGAGGTGAGTGCTGAATAATAACATAAACATTGTTATCAACAATTTCAGTTTTATGATCATCTACGTGCTCCACCTGCTGAAAGGTCCTAATATGGCTAGAGGGGGGGGTGAATAGCCTATTTAAAAATCTACAAATCAACTAGAGCAATTTGATTAGTATAACAAATAGAGTAATGTAAACTTGCTCTAGCTCTACAAGGGTTGCAAGCCACCTATCCAACAATTCTAGTTGCTATGATCACTAACCACACAACTTGCTATATTACTACTCACTAAGAGCTCTCACACTTGCTACACTAAAGAGCTTCACTAGATGAACTTGAAACAACAAAGCAAGCTCTCAATTCTAATTACACTAAAGAGCTTGCTACAACTAGTTTGCAAGAATATAAATGAGTGAGTAGGGTGATTATACCGCCGTGTAGAGGAATGAACCAATCACAAGATAAAGATTAAACCAATCACCGGGAGAATACAAATGGCAAGAGACAACCGATTTTCTCCCGAGGTTCACGTGCTTGCCAACACGCTAGTCCCCGTTTATGTCGACCAACACTTGATGGTTCGGCGGCTAAGAGGTGTTTCATAAACCTCGTCCACACGATTGGACACCGCAAGAACCTACCCACAAGTGAGATAACTCAATGACATGAGCAATTTACTAAAGTTACCTTTCGGCACTCCGCCCGGGAAGGTACAACACCCCTCACAATCATCGAATATGGACACGAACAATCACCAACTCGTGCCGATCCTCCACCGCTGCACAAGCCATCTAGGTGGTGGCAACCACCAAGAGTAACAAGCAAAACCCGCAGCGAAACACGAATACCAAGTGCCTCTAGATGCAATCACTCAAGCAATGCACTTGGATTCTCTACCAATCTCACAATGATGATGGATCAATGATGGAGATGAGTGAGAGGGCTTTGGCTAAGCTCACAAGGTTGCTATGTCAATAAAAATGGCCAAGAGAGTGAGCTTGAACCGGCCATGGGGCTTAAATAGAAGCCCCCACGAAATAGAGCCGTTGGGCTCCTCACTGCACTGAACACGGGCCGACCGAACGCTCCGGTCAAATTGACCGGACGCTGGACCTCAGCGTCCGGTCGTTCGATGTGCGCCACGTGTCATCGGCTTCAAACGCCGGTCGCCCGATTTCAACGGTCAAGTGATGACCGGACGCGTCAGTTAGAAAGTGACCGGATGCTGGATCTCAGCGTCCGGTCGTTTCCAGTAAGGTTCCAAACACGACATTTCATGACCGGACGCGTCCGGTCATGCTCGACCGGACACACCCTGCGTCCGGTCACTCAACATTTCCTCTGTGCTCCTCACGTTAGCATACGTCAGCACTGACTGGACTCAGACCTTGAGCGTCCGGTCAGATTACACTCTAGCGTCCTGTCACAAGACCGAGACCGTGTGCTTTTTGCTGTCACTGACCGGACTCTGAACCCAGCGTCCGGTCACAGCACCACCAGCGTCTGGTCACTCTGTGAACCCCTGTCTTTTCTATCTAGGGCGCCGGTGGCACCGTTGAACTGTTCGCACTCTACGGGCGGACACTCCGCCGGTGAAGTTTCCTACCCTTGCTCAAATGTGCCAACCACCAAGTGTATCACCTTGTGCACATGTGTTAGCATATTTTCACAAACATTTTCAAGGGTGTTAGCACTCCACTAGATGTTGATCTGAACGGAGCCAATGCCCACAATCTTCACATTGAGAAATGCACTCTTCACATGCATTTGGTACAACTTGATGTTGTGGGCAAAAGCATAGGCTAACAAGATCCTAATTGCTTCTAATCTTGCAACCAGGGCATATGTTTCTCCAAAGTCAAGACCTTCAACTTAAGTGTAATCTTGAGCCACTAATCTCGCTTTGTTCCTTATTACTATCCCGTCTTGATCTTACTTGTTCCGAAAGATCCACTTGGTTCCAATCACATTATGATCCTTAGGCCTCTTAACTAACTCCCATACTTGGTTTCTTATAAAGTTGTTTAGCTTTTCATGCATAGCATTGATCCAATCAACATCCTTCAAAGCTTCATCTATCTTCTTAGGTTCAATGGATGACATAAATGAGAAATGCTCACAAAATAAAGCCAATCTTGATCTAGTTTGCACATCTCTTAAAATGTCACCAATGATAGTGTCCAAGGGATGATCTCTTGCAACATTGGTTAGTTGAAGCACTTGCATTTGATAGATCACTTGGTTGAGATGATGAACTAGCCACTTGTTGTTGATCTTGCACTTTGTCATCACTAGTTCTTGCTTGAACTTGATCATGAGAACCACTTGCTTGCACATTTGAGTTAGAGAGCACTTGATTCTTGTCATCTTCAACATCAATCACCTCTCTAGGCCTTATATCACCAATGTCCATGTTCTTCATTGTATTGACCAATTGAGTGCCTCTTACATCATCTAGATTCTCATCTTTCTCTTGGGAACCATTTGTTTCATCAAACTCCACATCATGAACCTCCTCAAGAGTACCACTAGCTAAATTCCAAACTCTATAAGCCTTGCTAGTAGTGGAGTAACCAAGCAAGAAACATTCATCACATTTCTTTTCAAATTTGCTCAATCTAGTGTCTTTCTTCAATATATAGCATTTACATCCAAAAACCCAAAAATATGCTATGTTGGGCTTTCTCCCATTCAATAGCTCATAAGGTGTCTTCTCCATCATGGGGTGACAATAGAGTCGGTTGCTATAATAGCAAGCCATGTTGATTGCTTCGGCCCAAAATGAGTGATTCACATTGTACTCACTCAACATTGATCTTGGCATGTCAATCAAAGTTCTATTCTTCCTTTCAACTAAGCCATTTGATTGAGGAGTGTACTTGGCCGAGAATTGATGTCTAATTCCAAATTCATCACACAACTCATCAATTCTAGTGTTCTTGAATTCACTACCATTGTCACTCCTCACTTTCTTGATGGTTGTTTCAAACTCATTGTGAATGCCCTTGACAAATGATTTGAATGTTGCAAACACATCACTCTTATCCACTAGAAAGAATACCCATGTGTATCTAGTGAAATCATCCACAATCATAAATCCATCACCAATGCTAGTGTATGTGGTTGGTCCAAACAAGTCCATGTGCATCAACTCAAATGACTTAGATGTGCTCATCATGCTCTTCTTAGGATGTGTGTTACCAACTTGTTTTCCGGCTTGACATGCACTACAAAGCTTATCCTTCTCAAATGTGACATCTTTCAAACCTCTAACTAAGTCATGTTTAATCAACTTGTTCAATTGTTTCATTCCAACATGACCAAGCCTTCTATGCCATAACCAATCCATGCTAGACTTAGTGATCAAACATGTTGTCAATTGAGCTTCTCTAGCATTGAAATCAACCAAGTATAGATTTTCATATCTAAATCCTTTGAATATTAAGTTAGAGCCATCTACACTTATAATCTCTACATCATCCACACTAAATATGCACTTGAAACCAAGATCACATAATTGAGCTACCGACAATAGGTTAAAGTTCAAGCTCTCTACTAGTAGCACATTGGAAATGCTCAAGTTATTGGATATTGCAATCTTACCAAGCCCTTTGACCTTGCCTTTGCCATTGTCACCAAATGTGATACTATCAATCCCATTGCTCTTGTTTTCATTGATTGAATTGAACATTCTTGGATCACCGGTCATATATTGTGTGCACCCACTATCAAGCACCCAATGCCTTCCTCTAGCTTTATAATTGACTTACAAAAGAAGATCAATTCTTTTTAGGTACCCAAACTTGCTTGGGTCCTTGTAGGTTAGTTACCAATGTCTTTGGTACCCAAATGGTCTTCTTCTTTGGGCACATAATTGATGTACCAATGAACTTAGCCTTCACACCATTGGCACCCTTAATAAGCATATAACAAGAATCAAATTTAATTGAGGATACATTAGGTAGCTTGTTCTTGTTAATCTTGCAATATTGCTCTATATGCCCAACTTGCTTGCATCTATTGCAAAACTGACCATTGCCCTTCACAAAGCTAACTTTGGGAGTGACAAAGGCCGCCTTGCCTTTCTTGGGGGTATAGCCTAATCCCTCTTTGTTGAGAGAAAACTTTTAGCTACCCAAGCACTTTAGCAAGCGGGCATCTCCACCATAGGCATTGTCTAAGGCACGAGTGAGCTCATTTACCTCGTTCTTGAGGGTCTCATTTTCCACCATTAGTGAGGCATCACAAGAGAGACCATCACTCAAATGTGAAGTGGAAGTGGTAGTGCTACAAGAAGAGTTAGTGGGAGCAACTACAATGGACTTAAAAAAAGATTCATTAATAAGATCACAAGTTAATCCCACATCACATGATACGATCACTTGCTCCTTCTTGGCTTCCTCCACTTTGACTTGCTAAATGAGAGAGGAGTGAGCCTTTTCAAGCTTAGAGTGAGCTTTGTCAAGCTTCTCATGGGCTTCCATTAGCCTCTCATGAGTGGCATTGAGCTCATCAAAGGATTGCTCCAGAAATTTTACCTTCTTGCGTAATTCTTTGCACTCCTTTCTCTTCATCTCATTGCAAGCGTGCACTTGCTCACACATGTCCAAGAGTTCTTCCTTAGTGTACTCCTCATCCTCATCATCATCATTCCTACAAGTATCACTTTCACATTCATCATCATCACTCACATCATATTTTACTTTGGTAGGCTTTGCCATGAGGCATGTCGATGGAGTGTCGAAGATGGAGAGCTTATTGTTGATGGCGATGCTTGCTAGTGCTCTCTTGATAGATTTCTTGTCATCATCACTAGAGCTATCACTATCCGAAGAGCCATCACTATCCTATGTGACCACATAGCCTCCACCTTTCTTCTTCTTTTGGAAGGTCATTCTCTTCTCCTTCTTCTCCTTTTCTTTCTTATCCTTTTTGAGCTTCTTCTTCTCATCCTCATTATTGTCACTATTGTACGGATAATTTGCTACAATGTGATCGGGGCTCTTGCAATTGTAGCATCTTCTCACATATTCTTTGCTTTTAGTGTGATCTCTTCTCTTTCTTGCACCATAGCCCTTTTTCTTCATGAATTTTCCCATCTTGCGGACAAAGAGGACCATAGCTTCATCATCAATATCACTAAGATCATCATCATCACTTGATTCTTTCTTGGACTTGCCCTTGTTCTTGGATGATGATGAGATAGCATTGAATGCTATACTCTTCTTCTTGTCTTCATCTTCCTTCTTGTCATCCTTCTCATCCCCCTTCCTTTCCACATGGTATGTCTCTTGGGTCATGACATCACCTAGTACTTGGTTTGGGGTAATCTCCTTTAATCCTCCTCTTATGATGAGCAATCTCAACATCTCAAATCTTGGAGGTAGGCACATCAAGAATCGATGAGAGACATCATCATCCTTGATCTTTTCTCCTAATGCCTTCAAATCGTTGACAATCACTTGCAAACGATGGAACATCTGCAGAATGCTCTCATCTTCCTTCATCTTGAAGCTTGTCAATTTATCCTTGAGGATATACAACTTGGCACTCTTCACCGCCGGTGTGCCCTCTTATGTTTCCTCCAATCTCTTCCACACCTCATTTGCTCTTTCACAATCTTTGATTTGCTCAAACACCTTGGAATCAATGGCATTGTATATGGTGTTGAGAGCCATTGTATTGCATTGCTTGTTGATCTTATCTTGGTTGGTGGGATCATCGAGATCAATGATAGCATAGTCATTCTCGGTCACTTCCCATATTTGATCATTAATTGAACCAAGATACATCCTCATCTTTCTCTTCCAATAATCATAGCATGTGCCATCAAAGAACGGTGGTTTGCCCCCCACATGGTTGAACACAACTTGAGCCATAATTTGACACCGAGGTTGTTAAGCCTTTAATCAAACGGTGACCATGACTCTGATACCACTTGAAAGGTCCTAATATGGCTAGAGGGGGGGGTGAATAGCCTATTTAAAAATCTACAAATCAACTAGAGCAATTTGATTAGTATAACAAATAGCGTAATGCAAACTTGCTCTAGCTCTACAAGGGTTGCAAGCCACCTATCCAACAATTCTAGTTGCTATGATCACTAACCACACAACTTGCTATATTACTACTCACTAAGAGCTCTCACACTTGCTACACTAAAGAGCTCCACTAGATGAACTTGAAACAACAAAGCAAGCTCTCAATTCTAAATACACTAAAGAGCTTGCTACAACTAGTTTGCAAGAATATAAATGAGTGAGTAGGGTGATTATACCACCGTATAGAGGAATGAACCAATCACAAGATGAAGATTAAACCAATCACCGGGAGAATACAAATGGCAAGAGACAACTAATTTTCTCCCGAGGTTCACGTGCTTGCCAACACGCTAGTCCTCGTTTGTGTCGACCAACACTTGGTGGTTCGGTGGCTAAGAGGTGTTTCACAAACCTCGTCCACACGATTGGACATCGCAAGAACCTACCCACAAGTGAGATAACTCAATGACACGAGCAATTTACTAAAGTTACCTTTTGGCTCTCCGCCCGAGAAGGTACAACACCCCTCACAATCATCGAAGACGAACATGAACAATCACCAACTCGTGCCGATCCTCCACCGCTGCACAAGCCGTCTAGGTGGTGGCAACCACCAAGAGTAACAAGCAAAACCCATAGCGAAACATAAATACCAAGTGCCTCTAGATGCAATCACTCAAGCAATGCACTTGGATTCTCTCCCAATCTCACAATGATGATGGATCAATGATGGAGATAAGTGGGAGGGCTTTGGCTAAGCTCACAAGGTTGCTATGTCAATGAAAATGGCCAAGAGAGTGAGCTTGAACCGGCCATGGGGCTTAAATAGAAGCCCTCACGAAATAGAGCCGTTGGGCTCCTCACTGCACTGAACATGGGTCGATCGGACGCTCCGGTCAAATTGACCGGATGCTGGACCTCAGTGTCGATCGTGCGATGTGCGCCATGTGTCATCGGCTTCAAACGCCGGTCGCCCAATTTCAACGGTCAAGTGATGACCGGACGCGTCAGTTAGAAAGTGACCGGACGCTGGATCTCAGCGTCCGGTCGTTTCCAGTAAGGTTCCAAACACGACATTTCACGACCGGACGCGTCCGATCATGCTCGACCGGACACACCCTGCGTCCGGTCACTCAACATTTCCTCTGTGCTCCTCACGTCAGCGTACGTCAGCACTGACCGGACTCAGACCTTGAGCATCCGGTCAGATTACACTCCAGCGTCCGGTCATAAGACCGAGACCGTGTGCTTTCTGCTGTCACTGACCAGACTCTGAACCCAACGTCCGGTCATAGCACCACCAGCGTCCGGTCACTCTGTGAACCCCTGTCTTTTCTGTCTAGGGCGCCGATGGCACCGTCGGACTGTTCTTACTCTACGGGCGGACACTCCACCGGTGAAGTTTCCTACCCTTGCTCCAATGTGCCAACCACCAAGTGTATCACCTTGTGCACATGTGTTAGCATATTTTCACAAATATTTTCAAGGGTGTTAGCACTCCACTAGATCTTAAATGCATATACAATGAGTTAGAGCATCTAGTGGCACTTTGATATCCGCATTTCAATATGAGTTTCACCCCTCTTAATAGTATGGCTATTGATCCTAAATGTGATCACACTCGCTAAGTGTGTTGATCACTAAAACAAAATGGCTCCTACAATTTATACCTTTGCCTTGAGCTTTTTGTTTTTCTCTTTCTTCTTATCCAAGTTCAAGCATTTGATCATCACTATGCCATCACCATCATCATGATCTTCACCATTGCTTCATTACTTGGAGTAGTGCTACCTATCTCATAATCACTTTGATAAACTAGGTTAGCACTTACGGTTTCATCAATTAACCAAAACCAAACTTGAGCTTTCACCTGCACGCTAACATGTTGCTGCTCCTCATCAGAACCAACTGGAGAAACATCTGTGGACAAGCTGTCATTAAACATAACAGATTCATTGAAAACAACACTCCTGCTCATGAAAGTCTTTTTAGTTTTAGGATTCCATAACTTATATCCTTTAACTCTAGAACCATAACTAAGAAACAGACACTTAATGGCTCTAGGTTCTAGCTTTCTATTATCAACATGAGCATAAGCAGTGCAATCAAAAACTCTCAAATGTGAATAATTAGCAGGCATACCAGACCATACCTCAATGGGAGTTTTCTTATTAAGTGGGATAGAAGGTGACCGGTTGATCAAGTAACAGGCGGTGTTAGCAGCCTCAGCCCAAAAACGCCTATTCATACGAGCATTGAACAGCATGCAGTGAGCCCTCGAGATGATGGTTCGGTTCATGCGCTCAGCCACACCATTCTGTTGAGGAGTGTACAAGATGGTGTGGTGTCTGACAATGCCTTCTTCCCTGCAGTAATCATTAAAAGCATCCGAACAGAATTCACCGCCATTGTTAGTACGAAGCAATTTTACCTTCTTTTCAATTAGCCTTTCTATCATAACTTTCCACTCCTTAAAAGCAACAAAAGTATCATCTTTATTTTTGGTAAGCATGTAACAAGCACCACCATAAGAGGGCTTACGAGATGGCCCCCACAAATCATGTACATAATCAAGTGTACCTTTGGTGGTATGAATAGATGCATTGAATTTTACCCTCTTGTGCTTACCAAAAACACAGTGCTCACGGAACTTCATCTTACCCACAGTGCAGCCATCCAGCAGGTCTCTCTTGATCAATTCTGCCATACCAAGTTCACTCATATGCCCAAGACGCATATGCCAGAGATTAGTTTTACTTGGTTCATCATTAGAAACAGCAGCAACTGTGACAGAACCATGTAAAGTACTTCCTCTAAGAACATATAACTTTGTAGAATTTATATCACCTATCATATGAATGAGAGAGCCTTTTGATACCTTACACACTCCAGCTGAACCAGAGTGTCTGTACCCCTCGGCATCAAGTGTGCGGAGGGAGATGAGATTTCTGGCCATCCCTGGTATGTGTCTCACATCTTTCAGTGTGCGTATCATGCCATCATGCATCTTGATCTGAACGGAGCCAATGCCCACAATCTCACGTGGGTTGTTATCTCCCATACGCATGACATCTCCACTCTGCATAGAATCGTAAGAACTAAACCAATCTCTGTTAGAGCATATATGAAACGAGCATGCAGAATCAAGTATCCATTCATCACGACTAGCAACACAACCAGCAAAACACAACAAGAACGTCTCCTGAATCAGAACCATCAGGAACAGTGGAGACAACAGAGGCCTTACCATCACCATCGGATTTTTTTCTGGTTTATACGTACCATTTCTTTTCTCCTTATTCTACAGCTTCCAACAATCCTCAATGACATGAGTATCTTTCTTACAATACCTATAGAACTTATCCCTGCCTCTAGACTTCGAACGGCCTTTACCGTTCTTGCTCTTGTCTCGATTATTGTTGTTGTTGTAGGTTTTCTGCTCGGGCCTACCTCTAACCTGCAACACTTCACCCTTGGAGGACGACATATCAGACTGAACGATATCTTTCATCTTCTCCCTCGACTGGAGGGCCTCATATACTTCTGCAAGGGTTAGTTCATCATGACTTAATAGTATGGTATCTCAGAAATTTGCAAACAAACTAGGCAGTGAGCATAACAGTAGAAGAGCTAAATCTTCATCATCATATTTTACCTCCATCGACACTAGGTCAGCAATGATCTCCTTAAAGATCAATAAGTGGTTCATCACCGAACCACCTTCTTGCAGCTTGTGCGTGAACAACTTCATCTTCAAGTGCATCTTACTGGTTAGATCCTTGGACATGCAGATCGATTCCAGCTTGAGCCAAAGTTCTGCGGCAGTTTTCTCCTACAGCACTTCTTGCAAAATATCATTACATAGATGAAGTTGAATCAGAGACAGAGCCTTATGATCCTTCTACTTCTCTTCAGCGGTCCATGACTTCTGCCCTTTGCCTCCGAAACCATCCAACGCCTCGTCAAGATCAGAAGATTGTGCCAGAATTGCCCGCATCTTGACTTGCCACAGCACAAATCTCGTCTTGTAATCCAGCAGCGGTAGATCAAACTTCATCGATGCCATCTCGAAACTCTAATGTGAAACCAAGCTCTGATACCACTTGTTAGAAATGATAGACAATATAAACAACGAAGAACAGTAGATCAAACACAGGAGACACGCGATTTTAACGTGGAAAACCCTTCCAAGGAAGAAGAGAAAAAACCACGGGCACCAGCCAGCAAATCTTCACTATATCGGGTGAGGTTACAAATGTCGGGGATTTACAACTTTTCTTATCCTAAGACGACAGCTTACAGGAAGTATATATAGATGGAAAACCCTAATAGACGACGATCCACCCAAGCCTCTAGATGACGGGCCTCGCTTCGCTCTGGCAGAAGTTAACCTTTATCTTGTATATAACTGAATTTGGATCACAACTCAACAAGCCAGACGGCTAGCGCCAAGGCTGCTGGAGATCGTAGCGCCAAATCAAAGCATGTTCATCAAGCAACGGTCCATTCATGACAATTTCAGAGCAGTGCAACTTGCCTGCCGATGGCTACACTGCAAGAAGGTCGTCGTGGTGCTGTTGAAGATCGACATTGCCAAGGCTTTTGATTTGGTGGCATGGCCGTTTCTGGTCGAGGTCCTGCAGCACATTGGGTTCCCACAAAGATAGACTAATTGGATCACCATTCTTCTAGCGATGGCAAGCACAAAAGTCCTCCTAAACGGCAGGGCGGGGAGAAGGATTGCTCATGCTCAGGGGCTCAGGCAGGGCGACCCTATCTCCCACATGCTCTTTGTCATCATCATGGAGGCTCTTAACTCCCTAATCATGGAGGTTGATCGCTGGATGGCTCTAACGCCACTGCCGGGTCGTGTTATCAGACATCGGGCATTGCTATATGCTGACGACCTCGTTGTCATTGTCGAGTTCTGACCTGAACAATAAAAAGCCTCCAAAAGCAGCTTGGCCACTAGTTTGCCTGCCCAAGGATAAAGGAGGTCTGGGAGTTATTGACCTCACTTCTCAGAACAAAGGTCTTCTGATGAAACAGCTTCACAAATTCTTTAACAAATCCAGTATTCCTTGGGTCCAGCTTATTTGGGATCACCATTTCCTAAGGGGAAAACTACCTTTTCATGACAGAACTCCTAAGGGTTCTTTTTGGTGGAATGATATTCTTAAGTTACTGCCTCTGTTTAAAGAAATTGCCACCCCTCTTCTGCATAATGGCTCTACTTGTTTATTGTGGTATGATACTTGGCATGACCAACCTTGGAACCAGAAATACCTAGAGTTATTCTCATATGCTAAGAACAAGTTCATCTCTATTAGTGCTGCAGCCACAAGCCCTCTTCTGTAGGATTTATTTTTTATTCCTCTATCAAATGAAGCCTATCTGCAGTATCAATAGACTTCAACAACTCTGCAGGCTCTGCCTTTAGAGTAGGGAAATGATGCCTGGCATTTAATTTGGGGGAGCTCACTTTGTCATTCCAAGAAAGTTTGCAGATACTTAGTTGGTCATCATCATGTTCATGTTGCCTACAAATGGTTATGGAAATCCTCTTCAGAACAAGAGAAAATTCTTCTTCTGGCTTATTCTAAAAGACAGGCTTAGCACTAGAGGCCTCTTGCAAAGAAGACACATGCACCTTCTTGATTATAATTGTGTCTTCTGTAATCTTAATGTTGAGGAGGATCTGCTTCATCTTTTGTTTCACTATCCTTTTGCAATGGCCTGCTGGTACAATCTCAACATTATTATACCAAATTCAGATGACCTTCTCATCATCCTCGAAGGTATTAAAACTCAGTTACATTTATCGTTCTTCATGAAAGTCATTGTCACCATGTGCTGGGCTATTTGGATTATGAGGAATGATATCATCTTCAGGAATCTTGATCATTCTGTATACAGATGTAAGCTAGTCTTCAGGCAAGAATTTGCTCTAGTTAGTCTGAGAGCAAAAGCTAGTTTTCACCTTTACTTAGATCAATGGCTCGAAGCTTGTGTAATCCTAGCAATTTTCTTTTTGATTTTCTTCGTTTCTTGATTGTACTTTGTAAAAACTATTCTTTTATTGAATAAATTTTAGTATGGGTCTTCACCCCTCCTGTTCCATCAAAAAAACTTATTCGACGCGCGTCTGGGCTCGTTACCAACATCGATAAATGCGTGGCCACCCTAATACGCTGCTCCGATGAGATGATGCTTGGGGTACAAGAGGTGTTCCCATGTGTGGTGAGCCTGTTCCCATGCAAATACCTCGGCATCCCCCTCTTCCTATCACAGCTAAAGTGCGTGGAGGAGCAAGCACTGGTGGACGCAGTGGTGGCTAGGATTCCAACCTGGAAATCCGATTTGCTAACTCATGCCGGGAGAGTGCTCTTGACCAAGGTCACTTTGTCCACGATCCCAATCCACATGAGCATCACTTGCTACCTATCGGCCTAGGCGATTGAACATATAGACAAGCGCAGGCATGCATTTCTCTGGGTGGGAACCAAGACCAACAATGGAGGCAAATGCAAGGTTGCTTGGACCAGGGTGTGTAGGCCAACTTGCTACGTCGGGATCGGTATTCTTGATCTGCGCTTCTTTGGCTTTGCTTTGCGCCTACGCTGGGAGTGGCTTAGCAGAACGGCAGCGGGAAGCTGCTGGGCCACACTGCCCCCTAAAACAGAGAACTTGGTCACTACGATGACCACGATGAGCATGTTCGTGGTCCTAGGCGACGGGTGCTCCGCCAAGCTTTGGACGAATAACTGGTCGTAGGTTGGCCCGTTGTGTCGCTTCACCTCGGACCTATTCGTGGACATCTCCAGGGCCGACAAGAAGAGGTTAGTCAAAGACATGTGTCGGTGTTTCGAGTAAACATCAACGAGTAAATTTGTATTATTGCGCGTTGAACCCGGATGGTGTGCTAAAAGACACAAGGTTTATACTGGTTCGGGCAGAACATCCCTACGTCCAGTTTTGTGGCGGTTGCTCATGTTATTAGCACTAAAAGGTTCATAGTAGGGGTTACAAACGGGCGAGAGAGGGACATGTCCTAAGTCTCTGATGGAAAGGTTGAAAGGACGCTAAGAGCTTGGTTGCTGCTTAGCCGTGTGTTATGTGATGCGTCGTGTGTTCTCTTGATCGGTCCCCTTAGTGGTATGCCTTGCCTTCCCTTTTATAGACCAAGGGGAAGTAGGGATTACAGATGGGAGAAAGGAGAAAAACTAGAGGCAAAGAAGGTCCTTTGAAGGTGCCGGGTCTTCCTTTTTCTCTGAGCCAGCCTTGCTGACACGGCAGACGGTGCTAGGGATAGCTCCATGCTGGGCGTCTGTCCATTGATGATGCCACGCTTAGGCTTTGTCAACAAGTGGTCACGTCCCATCCCACCCCGACGGGTGGCACGACGGACTAGGGTGCTGAACCGCGACCCTATAGGGAGCAGACGACACAGTGACCGCACGCCCATTACTGTAGATAATGCGAGTTTCATCCTGGATCGTAGCGGTTGTCGTATGCTTCCGTCAGGATCCGCGTCCGAGGGCAAATGGCGGCGCCCACAACACTGTAAGACAAATGTCGGCGCCTACAATACTGTTCGGGCTCTAACATGCCTGGAAGGGCTTAAAGCGCACGTCCTATCATATCCTGACGGTACTTTCCTGTAGGCATGCTGGGTATGGTCCTTGGTATTGCGGTTGACATGAGTGCCCTACCTTATCCGTGCGCGTAGTTATGAAGGAGAAGTGCGCATACGTCGGGCGAGGCGGAGTCATCCCCTAGATGTCATGCGAGGCGAGCCAGCCCCTAGACATTGGGCGAGGCGGAGCTAGCCCTCGAACGTCGGGCGAGGCGGAGCTAGCCTCCGAACATCGGGCAAGGTGGAGTCTGCCCTCAGACGTCGGGCAAGGCGGAGCCAGCCTCTGAACGTCGGGCGAGGCAGAGTCTACCCTCAGACGTTGAGCGAGCTGAACCAGCCCTTGGGGGCTAGGCGCGATGGAGTCTGCCCTCAGACATTGGGCGAGGCGGAGCCAGCCTCTGAACATCGAGTGAGATGGAGTCTACCCTCAGACATTGGGCGAGGTGGAGCTGGCCCTCAGGGGTCGAGTGAGACGGAGTCTATCCTCAGACATCGGGTGAGGCGAGCCTACCCTCAGGGGTCGGGTGAGACAGAGTCCATCCTCAGACATCGGGCGAGGCGGAGCCGGCCCTCGAGGGTTGGGCGAGATAGAGTCTGCCCTCAGACGTCGGGTGAAGAGG